TTTAAATTCGAATCAATATCACATTTCCTTGGTTTTTTTTTGCCTGATTTTCTCTCAACTTTAAGCCTATTTTTTTGTATAAGTGAAGTTAAGTTTCTTTTTTTCCCTTCAAAGTGTTCTAAACTATTTACATTTCCAGAGAGGTATTGAACTGCTAAAATGTGAACACAATTTTTCGAGGCACCACAAGTACAATGTGCAGGTGGGTTCAAATTTACAGAATGAATAATTGTTTCTGATTCTTTCACTGACCAACTTCGATTTTGGGGAACAAATACAACTCCGTTTTTATTTAATATATCCTTTGCTAATGAGGATATTGAATAAACAAGTTTTGGAAGATCACTTTTAACTGGTTTTTCAACTAACATCTCTATAGAAGCATAAGGAGAAGAAAAATTGTTATGATCTTTGCAATGTATTTCAGTTTCTTTTATATGCTTTACTATGTCATCTGGTAGGATGATTTGATTAGCGCTAAGTTCATCTCTTGATCTTAACATAAAGGCAAACTCATCACTTAACTGATACAAACCAACATTATAGTATCCCTTTTCAACTTCTCTGTGAAAATAGGCACTGAGATAATTCATAGCTAAAATGCAAGAGTCCATTTTTGTTATTTTGTTGTCAATAAGATCCTTAATAACTTTATTTAAAGACTCTGACGCATTATTGGTAACACCAAAGTTTGGGTACTTTATCCCTTCTTCTGCTAAAACAAATGCAGCAGCACGAGAAATAACATCAGAGTGCATGTATTGAATGTAGTTTTTTTGAAATTTTTGATCATTCCAAGGGTTGATATTTCCTTTCGTTAGACATTTAAGTCTTGATTCATATTCAAAAACAGAATTTGATCGAAGAATGTATTTCATGGCTTTTACAGCTTCATCATACTCTGATGATGAAAATTTACCATTCTTTCGCATCCATTCCTTTACATTTTGCAATAAATGGTTCCAACATACCAAACTTTTTGTATTATCAAAATAATGGGAGCCATCAAACTCACGATCAGAAATGAATAACTTCCTGGATTTATTAAAATTTTTTCCACAAACATTTTCTTTTAATGTTTGAAAAAAGTATTTGTGATTTTGTGCTAATCTTTTTTCATGTATAAAAAATGCAAAAGGAACAGTAGGCGAAGAATATAAGTATTTATTCCTTTTTGTTTCCAAACAAACGTGTCGATAAGCTAAGCATGACAAATAATAATTTCCTAAATTGAAAGTTGTGTCATAGTGAAGTGTAATTTCTTTACAAGGTAGTAATTCTAACATTTCTTCCATTTGTGCAACAATTTTTTCACAACACATAACAATACAGATGTCTGGGTAGCTTTCTATTTTTCGAACAAATGGATGAATGGAATACGCAACAAGATGACTATTCCAAACCTCATCCTTATTATGAAAATTATTTTTTTCAGCATTTCTTGTCATAATATTTGCAACCTGTTTAGGATTTCTTGGAATAATAGAAGTTGAAATATGACCACCTGGGTCATTTGATAAAAGGCTCCTATATGCATCCATGGGTTTATTTTTCCCTTGAGCCAAAACTTGATCAAAAACATAATGCGATGATCTGTAAAAAAAAGATTTTGATTTTGTTGAATATCCATGACATCTATCAACATATGATTTTTCATTGCCCAAGTAATGAATCAATGCTTTTTTTCCATTTTGCAACATATATTCATGCTTTTCAAAATTGTTAGTATATGTTTTACCAACTCTTGCGTAAAAATATGTCTTAGTGATTAAACCATTTCCTAATGCACAACTTTTTTTATTCCTCCACATATAGCCATCTGCTCGCAAATGCTTTTTTAATGTTTTGTCACTGGAAATTGTAAACCCATAAATTTCTCCTGCTTTGGGACGAACAGGTATAGTTTCTTCTCCATTATTAAAATAAGTAGCATTTTGTAATAGAGTCAGAACTTCATTAAAGGTAAGTGTCTCTGTTTTTTTAGTTATGGCAGGAGTTGCTGCAGTTATGTTCAAAGTTGCTTTTGAATTTTTTGATGTCACAGATTTTTCTGATGTCATGGAAAGTGGAATAAAAACTTTGTCAGAAGTTTCATTATGCATATTAACCTCAATTACATTTTGATCTTTAAGGCTCGCATTTTTATTTAAATAAGCTGTTGATGTTTTATCATTGATTGTATTAGAATAAGATTGATCAACAAGTATTATTTGCAATGCATAGTTGTGGTCATTTTGAAACACAAATAGAAATTGGTGTCTGAAACTTTCTAAATGTTGAAGGGAATATTTCTGCTCATAAAACAAAGATCTTTCTTGTTGGTTGGCCATAAATTTGAATTTTGAGAAAGAAATGTTCTTTTTCATAATTTTCAATTTTGAGATTCATTCAAAGATACAAAATATAATTCAGAAAAAAATTGGTAATTTTTTTTGTTGATAAATTTAAGTTAAAAAATAACAATCAAGGTAATAAAAATAATATTAAATACTTAGTAAAAACAAATACACATTAAAGGCATACATAAATTAAATTGTTATGGTAAAAACTGTCATATTTATTTGGGAAAATTTTTGTAAATGTTCTAATCTATCTAAAAATTATCATCTACATCTTAAAAATTTAATAAAACCTACATCTTATTATGATTTCCAAAAAAACATAAAAAAAGTTTACACTATTCTATTAGCTTCATATTAAAATTGATTAAGATATAGGTCAATTTATTTTATCTTTTCTCAGAAAACTACATTCTAATTAACAATTTAAAAACATTGCCATAATCTTATCAACTCCAGATTAAATTTATTTAAAAACATAAATAAAAACTTGTATGTGTAACAAGTGAAGACTTTGCAATGTTATGCAAAAATAGTGTCACAATTCAGAGAACTAATGAAAGTTTTGCATTCTAAGAAAAATATTAATCCACTGGAAACTATGCGGATTAGAAATTACTTAATTTCAGAATCAAAAACTAATAAAGGAGTAGTTAAATTTCACAAATCTTTCATATATATATATATATATATATATATATATATATATATATATATATATATATATATATATATATATATATATATATATATATATATATATATATATATATATATATATATATATATATATATATATATATATATATATATATATATATATATATATATATATATATTAGCATTATTAACAAAATAGTAAAAATTACTGAAAAAACTGATGCTAACATTTAAAAATATATAATAGACATAGTAGTAGTCAAACTGTAGCTGCGTTAACAGCAAGTGAGTTAGAAATTTAATTTGACAGCTTTTGAAAATATACTGCAATATAACTTATATATAACAAAATATAACTTTCAATAATATAATGCAAAAGATGAATAGTTTAAACAAAAAATAATTTTTAAGTTAACTTTTTTGATACTAAATATTTGTCTAATTTTCTCTTGAAACTGTTTACATTTGTTTACTTGACAACTTCCAATGGCAATGTGTTCCATAAATTTTCTGTTCTGTTTATAATAAATTCATGCCTAGAAGTTTATTTTCCAATTTTAACAAATTATTAAACTTCATATACTAATTCTTTTTTTTTCTATACAGTAACGAACTCTCTTCTCACTAGACAGTTTTACAATAATAATTTGAATAGAACATACCTTTAGGTACCTTCCTTCATATACAGCACTTTGCAAAGCTTAAAGCTTCTCCCAATGCTTGCATTCCTTGTCATTTTTCTAAACATAAACAAACAAGCAAAAAAACAAATTAGAATACTTATTAAGACTTCATTGAAGTTTCTTCAACAAGCTTTATTGAATTTTGTTGCTAAACTAACTACTCTATATTTACTTTCAATAAAATAAATATGTTTAGCAATCGTTTTAGCTTATAAAAGGAAAGTATGGCTGTTAAAAGTACTTGAGGTTTGTCAAACTGATGGGTCAACCATACTATTAAAACATTAAAGTTTAATGTCTTAATATTTGTTAGCTAACACAGATTAAAGATTAATTAATCTTTAATCTGTGTTAGCTAACACAAAATAAAGAAACAAATAGAAAGAAAAACAACGAAAATTTTACTATTTCCTATTGTTGTGACAACAGATTTTTATCTTACTGTGCATGTTTAGCATTAGTGACAGGCTTTCCCCTTATTGTGCAGCTTCCGCTAAACTTACTTTATTGTTGCAGGCCACTATTATTTTGGTATACAACACATAGATGGCATAGCAATACAAAACTTATTGCTACATTATATTTTTTAATTTTACATGTTTTGAATTTTATAAAATTCAAAACATTAATTTAAACTAATAATGCGGGGGTTGACTACCGGTTGTTCTTTGCTCGCATTCCGTTTTTTATTCTGTTACTCCAAGATGGTTTTTCGGCATTTCGGCTTTTCGGCGTTTTAGAATTCGGCGTTTTAGAAACTCTCAGCTACGTGATTCCATATGAAAAATAAATGCATAGCATTGCATGTTAACTTGTACATTTTAAAATTACTTTTCAATGTGCTAATTACTGCAGTTATTCATATATCAATTACTAAAGTTGTTCATATATCAATTACTGCATCTATTCATATATCAATTACTGCAGTTATACATATATCAATTACTGCAGTTATTCATATATCAATTACTGCAGTTATTCATATATCAATTACTGCAGTTATTCATATATCAATTACTGCAGTTATTTATATATCAATTACTACCATTTTTATATGTAACAGTTACATTTTTAAAATATAATAGCTATTGTAATTAAATTCAATTTAGCTGAGTAGGAATAGAAAGGAACTTTTTAGGTAGTTATTTAACAGATTGTGTAAGTATATTAGTATAATTATTTTGTAAGTAGTTATGTTACAAAATTCTCGCTAATTGATTGATAGAATTATAAATAAATTTTTTATTTTACTGTCATTAAATGAAATATTTTTGTTTGAAAATTTATAATTATAAATTATAATTTTCTATAAATGCTTTTTTTTTTTTTTTTTTTTTTTTTTTTGCAACTGAAAACTTCATGCAGTTTTAATTACAATATGAGCACTTTTAAGCAATAGCTGTCAGGCACATTGTGTCACTCTGCATTTTATTGAAAATCAACTTTGATATTTTTGTATTTTGTTAAAAAATAATAACTGAAAGTACAAACATTTGTCAGGACAAATCATTTAGAATAGTTTAAATGGAGAATAATACACCTTAATGGGTAGTTTTTTTTTTTTTCTTTGCTTGAGGGGTTAAGATTTTTTATGCTTATATTTCCTACTTTTATATAATTTAAACTTTTTTTCAAATAAATTGTTTGTTTTGATAAATTTATTTCATTTATAGTTTAGAACTTTCTTTGTCTTGGTGTGAAGACACTATTTTCATCAATATTATACAGATCAATATAAATTTGAAGGCTAGTAAAAATAGATTTAATGTATTACTCTAAATTAGTTAAATTTAGCTGGCATAAATAAAGTTAAAAACCAACAATTCTAAAAATCATTCACAGAATAATGCTAAAGCTCTTTGTTTTATATTGTAGGTACAGAGTTTTTTTAAATATAGGGTTGTTTGAATGATGAGATTTAGCGTGGCAGTAGTCTCAGAAGATGACTTTAAAGGTTATTTATACTTGATGGGTGTTATCTATTCCTCAAAAAGAGCCAAGTATCAAAGAATTAATAGCATATTAAAAATTAAGAATTGGAGATGTTGGTTTATTTGTGTAAATAATTTGTATACCTAATTATTTAATTATTTTATTAATTTGATTTTCAGCAAAGATGACAGAAAATCAAGAGATTCAAAGCGTAGTCGATCAAGATCAAAAGATCGCAAAAAGTAATTTGTGTTTTTTTTTTTTTGTTTTTTTTTCTTTTCTTTTCTTCTTTTATAGTTGTAAAATCTCTGATTAGGACCTCTGAGAGACCTTGAGTTTTTATTTTACTTAGGCTATGATGTCTCAGATTTAAGGTATTGATGGCACAACAGCTAAACCAAACATTAGCAGTTTGAATATCTATTTTTACAATTAAGAAATTTTAAAAATAAATATATAAAATACAGCCTCAGAATTAAAGTTCTATGAATGGTGACACAATGTTGACATTTAGCAAAAAAAAAATAAACATAAATATTTACAGTGTGAAACACAATATTTTGCTTACAATACAATTTTTCTGTTCTAACTTTTCATCCCGCGTGTTGTATTCAAGATTTATGGGTTTTTGAGATTTTGAAAAATGTGTAAATTATGGAGCGGATTTACTGATTGCCTTTTTTATAAAACAAGAAATCTAATAGTGTTATACAAAATATAAAAAAAAATTGAAAGGCAAAGGTTGCTGAAAACAAACATAGAAGTGTAAATTTTTTTTTGATTTGTTTTAAAGACGATGTGAAGCATGACAACCTTGTCAAATTTAATTGAATTTTGTTTAAAGTATTTTCAGAATTTCTTTAAGCATAAAGATAATAAAATTATAACAGTAGTATTTGTTAAAAGTTGTTATCATATAAGCGAAGAAGATAAAGTACAAATTCAGCAACAACTTTTATATGCACTAAAATATCAACAACAACTTGCAATTGTTTCAGATTTAATTCAGAACAGCTTTTGGTATTATCTTGTTATCAAAGATTTAAAATTAAAATTATTTTTGAAAGGATTTTTAGAAGAGTTTAAAAAACAAAGATAAACATGAAAAATGTTTATAACAGAAACCATTTTAGCTTTAGTAGATTTTAATCAATTTTTTAATTTTTGTTGATTTGATAAAAAAATCAAAGTTTGATAGTTGACTACCAAGAATATGGATCATCTGTAAGAAAGCAAAAGTGGATCTATGAAGCTCGTATACTATGAAGTTGACTAAAAAAATAGTTTTTATAATATTTTTAAACTTTGAAACCTTTTACTTTTTTTTTTTTAATAGTAACTGAATTTATTAAAGTTTTAACATATGTCCAAATGGTATAATTTTGGTATTCCTCTATAGCTGACAAATCTTAAAATGTTAATTAGAATATTTTATCGGAATATAGTTAAAGTAATTACAGAAAATTAATTAAAACTTTAATTGAGTTCAGGTTTAAAACAGAAAGATCAAAGAAAAAAAAATTACAAATATAAAGTTATTGCAATCAATCAAAGATAGTCACTACCTAATAGTGTCTACCTTTTGATTGATAGCAAAGTCATCTCTTCATTGATTCGGCCAGTTTCATGCATATTTTATATAGCACCTTTAAAAATTGAATTTAATGGCTTATCAATTAGGCAAAATTTATGACCAAATCTTTTCAATAGGGTTAAGGTCTAATGATCTAGGGTATCAAATCAACATAATGATGTTTGTGTTGCGATGTTGTGTTGTATTAGGGTTCCAAAAAACAACTTTTTAAAAAAATATCTGCTTCCACCCTCTAAATGTGTTTTATATAATAAAATAATACTAGAATTATTTTATTATATAGAACACATTTTAAAATATAATTATTTTAAATATTATCGCCTAAAAATTACATTTTCAACTAAAAATGAAAAATTACATTTTCAACTAAAAATTTTTACAAAAAAGAGTTTATTAAAAAAAATTTTTTACCAATGTTTTTTTATAAAATGATGATTATTTTTGAAAATTTTACATAATTCTTCTAAGACCCAATATAATATACTTTTGAAGAACCTGTCTGAAGTTTTTTTGTAATATAATTATTTGATGGACAAGCATTGGATGGATAATCATTACATGGTTATTTCTTATACATATATGGTTATTTCTTATACATAAAAATTGGTATCAAAGGAAAGATCTTCAAAAAAAAAGAAAGCTGTATTTTAATTATTTTAGTTTTTTTTTTTTTTTTTTAATTTATTGAAAAATCAAACATCAAAAAACTAGGAACAAAAAAAAACTAGTTAACTTATTTCTGAGTAAATTTATTGTGCTACTACTTGGAGAATTACTTTAGATAATATACAAAATAAATATTTACCTAATTATATCTATATATATATATATATATATATATATATATATATATATATATATATATATATATATATATATATATATATATATATAATTATTTTGTAATTTATTTATTTATGTAATTTATTTAATTAACCATTAAAATACAGGGTAGCACTTGATGCTCAATATTTATAACTAATTTTTAATTTTAGTAAATTAAAAATAATGTCAGTCTTAATAATATATTTTTTTTAATACCATCAAAGCTGTTTTATTTGTATCTTTTGCTTTTATGATATTTTGATGTTTGAGAGCCGATGTTTAATAAATATTTTTTGGTTATTTAAATAGAAAAAGCCGGTCCCGCTCTCGAGATAGAAGAAGGTAATTATTTAATGGTTTAATGTGGTAAAATATATTGAATTTATTATTTTTTTAATTTTATTTATTATTTGTTTTTTCTAAAACAACAAGATAATTAGGAGTGTGGAGCTAGATTAAAAAAATTTAAATCCTTGCATTTATTTATTAATAAAAATTTTATATAAGATTCTTCCTTATGATCTTTGTTTTGTTTAAAGACACTTTTTACTCTAAATAGCATTGCAACTAGGTTTCTTTACAATTAAGTGGATATATAAAGTTTATGTTTTGCTTAACCGAATAAAGAAAGCCTAATAAATTACACACGCTCTGGATTTAAAATGAGACAAATGTTTTTATTACTGTGAAAGGTTGTGTATTGTTAATGGCATTGTCTTTAATTCTTAAAAAAGTTAAATGGCATTGTCTTTAATTCTTAAAAAAGATGTTGCTTTTTAGTGAACAAAAATAGTTAACTAATTTAATAGTTAACTAATTAATGTTTTTTTTTAAAAAATAAAATTATTTCATTAATAGATTTTTTTTTCTCTGTTTAAATTATTGGTGTTTTGACTATTAAACTAAATATTTTGTTATGTGCAAAAAATGGCAAACAAAAACAATTAAAATGGTACCAGGCTATGTATATTCATAACAAATAACTCAAGCAAGAAATTAGCAATATTTTTATCTGCCTGATGGGCAATTGGATATAAATCTAACATTACACCAATGAAACGTTGGGCATTAGCTCCACACCTTCTATGGTAAAATATCAAATCATTTAAGTTAAGGTGTATAAGACACTTACCCTAAAAGTGAAAATTTTAGAGACAAGAGATCAAGATCTCCAAGAAGGAGAAGTCGTTCTACTTCTTACGAGCGTCGAAGGTATGGCTGAAATTTTGTCTACGTTTATTTTCAGCTTTATCAATATATACTATTTAGCCACAATAATTATTTTTCGAAACTTTTTCTCAATCGGTAATGTTGGTTATAAAAACCTAAATAGAATAAATATGAAAAAAACTTTATGATATTGTGGTTAAATTTAGTGTGTTTGTTACAACATTTAAGTTTAATTTTGTTTGAGTGTGTTTAATATAACATTGCAACTTGAAAAGAAAAGAAAAAAGAACTTAAATAAAGCATTTAATGAGTTTGTTTCAATAATTTTGTTTTTTACTAACATAAAATATAAATCTTTCTGTTATGCTTAAAATTTCAAAAATGTTTTATTTTGTGGTATTAAAGTAACTAATGTCAGTTTTATTAAAATTTAAGAATTATTTTGTTCAAGACATTTATCTTGAAAGTAAAAACTTTTAGACATGAAAGGAGGTCAAGATCTCCGAGAAGGAGAAGTCGTTCAACTTCTTATGAACGCCAAAGGTACGCCAAAAAGATTTTTTTAAACTTAGTTTACAGATTCATGCTGTTTAGTTGCAAAAAAATTAAAATCTATCTGAACAGTATACCTTAAAATTGGATAATTTGACACCCCAAAAAATTAAGTTTTTAATTGAAAAAAAGGTTGCTCATTGTTTTATATTCAGTTTTTTGATATATACCTTATAGTGCAAAAATACTTATAATTAAAAAAAATAAACATTTTTCTATATATATTTTTAGCATTCTAATGCTTTTTAAATTTGTCCCATGGGGGGTGGGGTGATTTTTACTTTTTAAAAAAATGCAAGATAACTTAATTCCATATCAACTATGACTGTGTTTTTCATTTGTTTTTTAATATTTATTACAAAAATCTACAGTAAATTTTTTATTATAATTGTATCAAGTTGAACCAGCAAACTTTTTATAGCTTATTTTTTGTTAAATAAGTAGGTTCAAATAAATTTAAAGCCTGAAACTAAACTTCAAAAACTCAAGGAAAGTGTTTTACTATTGCCACAAAATAATGCCATATTTTGGATTATCGCTTAGAAAACAATGTATTACTATAAAAACAAAATGTTCGTAATATAAATGCCTTGGCAAAACCAAATTTAATTTTTGTAAGAAAAAAATATTGCTATGGTTAGCCATTATAAGGGCCGACGACACGGGTTTTGAAGTAAGGGGGGGGGGCACAATCATTAATTTGTGAAAAAAATCCTCTATATCAATATCTTTCTTTTAAAAAAAAGAAAAATATTGATATAGAGGTCTTTTAGAAAAAAAGTAGGAAGGGGCATCCCTGTCCCCTCCTCCTCCTCTCCCCCCCTTCCTTCCCTGAGTTGTCAGCCCTGATTATTTTGTTTACTAAGCACTTTTTTTAAACTAAAATATTTTTCTTTTTTGGTAACAAAATTTTTAAATCAAGATGGAACAATTGACTTTTCATTTCATCATTTTCAAAATGCAGATAAAAAAGTTTTGACAAAACACATTTTTAAGACATGAAATTTTTTTAAAATCATTTATTAAAATTGAAAATTGAAATTGATATGTTTTTTGCAATCAACACCTTAATGTTATAGATTTAACACTGATGAATCAAAATGTTTTTTTTTTCCAAAATCATCAAAGTAATCACAAAAGCAGAAAGTTTATTTGAATAACTAATTGCAGCATAAAGTCAAAGTATAAAATATGAAATAAGTATGAAAGTAGTAAATGTATAGTCAGTAAAATTATGTGGTTACATTAACATTCCATTATAAGTGTTTTTGTGTAAGTATTTATTAAAACATTGATTTTTTTGTTTGTTTGTTTTTTATTTACTTGTGTGCATTTACAAAAACATTTAATTTTGATTTTGTGTGTATTTTTTAATTAATTATTGCAGTTTATTTGAGACAACATTGTGTTATGAACATATTTCAATTATTTTAGGTGAAATATAAATTTTTTTATGTTTTGAATAAGAAAGTTTTTTAATTTTACTGGTGGTAATAAAATAACAAAACATTTTATTTGTCCCATTGAAGTTTAAAAATTATAGCGTTTGAGACACTTATCTTAAAAGTAAAAATTTTAGACACGAAAGGAGATCAAGATCTCCAAGAAGGAGAAGTCGTTCAACTTCTTATGATTATCAAAAGTACGACTGAGATTTTTAAAAGATTTTCAGCTAACTGAAATAACAAGAAAAAAAATGACAGATAAAGATTGTGGGTATATCTATGGGAATATTTTTACTTTTTTGTCCAAATATGAAAAAAAGTTATTATCAACAGCTTAATAATTCTAAATGGAAACACAAAACATGTATCTGTCATTTTCTCATATTTTTTAGAATTTTAATACAAATTTCAGAATTTATGTATTAAAAGAGTAACCCTAAGCCATAATGATAGAATGTTATTTATCTTTAAGTTAGAAATATAAGAAAATAAAGTATAAATGATCTGTGTGTGTTTTGTTACGCTTCTTTTACTAATTTGTTGGAAAAAATTTCAAAAGTGTTTCATTATAATTTGTATAAATTAGTTTAAAGATATGTATATTGTTTTTATTAAAGATGTGGCAGGTGGTTTCAAAAATACTCATGGGTTTACTCTTCTTTTTTTTTTTTACTTTATATATATATATATATATATATATATATATATATATATATATATATATATATATATATATATATATATATATATATATATATATGTATATATATATGTATATATATATACATATATATAGAAAACAGATTTTTAAAAACTACCTAATTTTGTTAGCATTTTGCTAATGGTGTTCAATTTTGAAACCAATATCTTGAATTGGAAAGCCGACTTGTTTAACTAATCTCATTCAAAGAATAAAATTATTGACACTTAAAGAAAAAGAAAAAATGAATGAGATATAAACAATCGTACTAGTATTATATAGATAAGTAGATATATATGAAAAAAAAACAACAACTGGAAAACAGTATACCTGCTTTTGGTAACCTATTGTGATACTGCAGCAGTTGCTGTAGGGATGCAGCTGTTCTTTTTGGTGTTGTTCAAAAACGTAATTTTTATGTTGGCTTTTAGTAAATTTAAAAGACATCACAACGGATTTAAAAATACTCATAATAAAAAAAGCAAAACATAAAATGCTTCAAGGAGCCAAAACATAAAAGATGAAGAATGAAATCGAGATAAACATATTGTATTTATATAGCTAAATATATTGCCTTGGGTTTTGGTAAATTTTAAAAGCAGTGAGTTCAATAAATGAAACATACCAAATAATTGTTTTTAACAAAAGAATGCAGCATCATTATATTATGATAATTAGATAATGAATCAATTCAACTTTCGATTTTAGATTTTAGGGAGGGGTATTTAAGAGGGCTTTAAATTTGAAGTCAGGTTTAATTGGTGAGAAAACAATTAAAATTTTCATTAAAAAAGATCAAAACAAATCAAATATACAACGTAATATATATTTAAAAAAAAAAATTTACAAAATTAAAAGGAAAAACACCGAAACAAAAAATAACAAAATTAAAAAAAAAAAAAAAAACCAAGAAAAAGCAGCAACTAAAAAGTCATAAATATCTCTACTGATAGAAGACATTTACAACCTTTTGGTTGCTATTTTTTCTTCGGTGTCTCCCAACACCCCGGTATGGATGAGCCCTCCATTTAAAGGAGGACTTATCCATTTCGCCATGATCTTTCCATTTTTTGAAGGACCTTTCTGAGAGAGGTCCCGGGTGTTGGGAGCGGTAATTTTTGTATTTTTCGAATGATAAGGAATATAAAGTTACAAATAGAAGAATATAATAAAAATTATACATTTGCAATTATTTAAAAAAAAAAATAGCATAAACTCACCATTTTCATTTGAAACAAAAGATGCTAAAAAAAAAAAAAAAAGAGAGAGCAAATTAAAAAAGGTTAAACATGCAATATTTTGTATTTTAATAAATATATAAGGCAATAATGCAACCAGTTCAAAAGTTTCATATTTATTAATTAATTTTTCCACCTATTGCACATATTTCTTCATACAAAACATATAAAATATAAAACACAGCCCTACCAGCTATACTTCCACCAGACACTAAAGACAAATATATACTAAAATAAATATAAAATAATCGATAAAATAATGTTAACATATAAATATATACATATCTAAATAATTGTTTTACCCATCCCCCTCATTTCATACATAAAGTTGTCTAAGAAAAAAATAACTAAAGCTAAAAACAAAACTATAAACTAAACCAAAACTATAAACTAAGGTAAACTTTAAATCTTCTAAATATTAATGCTTTATTTATTAAACTAATCATAATTTATACTTAGTTTTTGTTCCAACTTCCGAAAAAAGAAAGTATAAAATAAAGCTAAAGAACTTGATTTTTAAAAATTCCAGTGGCAGTACAAACAAACAAATTCCTATTAACAAATATCTAATAGCAAAAACACTGACTTATTTCCTTCTTCACTTCTGTATTGAAACAATAAAAGCACTTTAATGTTTAGATGTTAAAATATCGATAAAATACATATTAAATGCCACATTCAACAAATGTAATTAATACCTTTATTAGATCTCTCTTGATTAACTAAAGAATTTAAATTTTAAATAAACTCTAACTAAATTTTAACAAACAAACAACCAAAATAAATCTTCATATTAATAGTACGTTATTAAGTTGATTAATAGATCAAACAATTTAATCTACTCTAATAATCTACTACCTTATTAATAAACTTTAATTTTTTTTCTACGACTCAGTGTAACTATAATATAGATATTTTTAAAGTAAAAAAGAATTTAATATTATAATATATGATTTAAAAAACCTGAAATTTTAAATCTACCTCGAAGAAAACAGATATATAATAAAAAGTATTTTTATTTCTTTTTAAAAATTTAAAAATGCTTTATAACTTTCTTGTTTCAATATTATTACCAACGTCTAAATAGAAAAACAAAGATATATGAGTTATATATATGATTTTAAAATATATATGATTTTAAAAACCTGAAACTTTAAATCTACCTCAAATAAAACAGATATATATTGAAAAGTATTTTGATTTCTTTTTAAAAATTTAAAAGTGCTTTTTAACTTACTTGCTTCAATATTGTCATCATCTAAATAGAAAAACAAACAAACATTTAAGTCGACTCATTCTTAAATCTAGTTTAATTTCTTCAATAATAAAAAAAATTTAATCTTTGAGGATTAAATTTATTTACAAAAATCCGTTTAAGTTCGTTTAAACCATTTTATCATTGTTAAGTTAATTTAAAGTTTTAAAAAACTGAAACTTTAATTCTACCTCAAAGAAAACAGATATATATTGAAAAGTATTTTTATTTCTTTTTAAAAATTTAAAAATGCTTCTAAACTTACTCCCTCCAATATAATTATATAATATATATAGTATATATGATAAATAAACCTCCAAAATTTCCTTGGTTTAACAACTCGATTATGATTA